AAGAGTTATTTACGGGATCTCAAAATTTCTATCGTAATATTTTACATTGTTTAGATTCAATCTCATTATAAAGAAGACATATTTATGACGTTGTATAAATACTTCATATATATTACGTGAAATAAATAAAAACATAATGTGTAATTTATGCAATAGGTTATTTTATGAAAAATAAGAGGTATAATCTTTCTTTTTATTTTTGTTAAAACGATATTAAGTATTAAATAAAGTTGAAAGAAAATAAAAACATCATTAAAATCGTGTTAAACATAGAAACAAACATATTTTATTCCAGGGATTCCCAAAGTGGGCGCCACTGCCCCCTGGTGAATCCTGCAGTAATTCAGGGAAACGATAGAAACATTAATATATATATATATATATATTGGGTTAGTAACTAAATGATTGTGGATTTTAAATAAAAATGAAAATTTTGCTTATAAATATAAATTATAATGCAACGTTCAACAAATTTCTTATCTTTGCTATCAAAAAACTGAATTATGTGTAAAACAAAATCCACTATGACTTAGTTGCCAACCCAATATTTCCTATAAATTGTTATAAAAATTGAAAAAAAATTAATTTCCAGAGGATACTAAGTTTTTTTCTGGAAAGGGAGATGGTGGTAGGACAAAAAAGTTTGGGAACCATTAATTTATTCATATGTGAATACAATGTCGTTCTTTTAAGGGATTGAAACTAGTTGTTATTGTTGTTGTTGGATCGGATTGGCTGATAAGAAAGTGTATTTGTGAACAGGCAGTAGAGATAACAACGGTGGCAACGGTATTAACGGCAGTAGGGGCAGGAGCCCATGGCTGGAAGTTATCTATACCAGTGGTGGTGGATCCCAATCGTGATCCTATCTAGATGCTGTCTACTTCTAACTACCGATATCAACTTACCTTACTTATCGCAATATACGGAAGAAGAATATTCGGAATTCAATCCAAATGAAGACGAGATAGTTGTATTCCTTAATGAACAATGCAACGAGGAGGTCAATCTAACCGATATTCAAAATCAGTTACAACAGTATTGGAGCGTGAACCTTTCCATCAGTATATTACCAAGATCTCGTGAGTAGTAGTTTATGACCAGAGGAGAGAAAACATATATGTATATATGTACTATAATACATATATGTATTTATCTCCAATATTAGATATAAAGTTACGCGATGACGCATGTTTATACTCTGTCGTACTATGTTAATTAAGAGAATGTATTTTAGCATCGACTATAATGTCAAGTTACGTTCATATATATATGTATATGTATATTATATTATATATATTGTATATTATGCAACGACTATATTTTAGATGGGAGAAGCTAATGCAATACATATATATATTTATACAATATCGATTTAATACCTATTTCCCCCCTTGGAAGATTTATGTCGTAATCAGATAAAACGTAGTAGTAGTAACCTTACGAAGAAGTGGCGCAAACGCGTTAAAACTATTATTCTCGTCCAATTGATTTTAAACCCTACCCCCCTACCCCTAACCCAACCCCCTTTTCGTTTGATCGTCGTTATTACGTAGCGTACTTTCCATTATGCTGCCACGACACTACATATATATATATATACCTATATATATACACCTAAATAGACGACAATGACGCGTAAGTGATAAATGTTAACAGTGACCTGTGAAACGCGGTCCTGGGGTTTCGGCGCACTGGTGTATTCTATCAGCCAACCTACAACGAAGGCTTTGATAGCAGCCCTTGATAGCACGAGTTGCGAGTTCGTTTCAAAATTGGCCCATACTTGGAACAAGCCTCTATTCACGTGGACTTGTCCTTTGGTAAATAATATTTTCCTATCCTCATCGTTTTGATAACAGAATCCGATTAAAATTCAATTGATATCGTCAGATCGGAACATGTTTTTTCTATAAAAGTCCTCTTTTTTTTATTATTATTATTATTTACAGAAAAATTTGGAAGATAGAAAATTATCTAGCATAGTTAGACTTTCACCTGCTTTACCGTCCCTTGCTCAGGCACTTGCAGAAATGTTTCTTCATTTACAATGGAATTCAACGGCAATCATTGGCACCGGTAAGACGATTTAACACGTGTTCGTATTTGTTATCGAACCACATCACGTGCTGCTGTTGTTGTTGTTGTTCTTCTTCTTCTTTTTTTTTTCTTTGAAATAACAACCTGATTCTTTTCGAACAGACAAGGAACCATGGTCAAGTTTAGACAGGGTCGTGGTAGATGCACTTCGAACTATCGGCATCGTGCCACGTTATCACGCGATATTACCGCAACGTGCTACCTGGAGTCAAGTTCGAAGAACATTGAAATCTCTGCATTATATATCTCGCAGAGGTAAATATATATAAAAAAAAAAGGTTTAAAGGAATTGGATGGGTAGTTATTTTGTTGATAAGAAAATTTGCACAATCGTTAAAAGCGTGTGCTGCACCTGTAAATTATATTCGTCGTTCAAACCAGAAACGCTTAGTTTGCATTTATTCGCTGAACACATATGTGCCATAAAAAGAACAAAAGAAAATATAAAAAATATTCTAACAAAAAAAATTTGAATCAAACTATACGCTTTACAGTGTACTTTTTCTATCCTTCTCTTTTTCTTTATATGTGTGTGTCTATCTGTCTGTCTCTTTTTCTCACCGTTTATCAGTGCATCGAGATAGGTTTAAAAAAGGATTACTTAGGCTAGATGGAAATGAAATGGAAAATAGTATTTTTTTTTTCTATTCTATCAGATCGCGTGCGCATAAGGGTCAACCCCTGACTATGCATTATTATTATTATTATTATGATTATTTGTTTTAAGCGCATGAATTTTTTGTTCAGTTTATCTGTCATCATTTCTTTTTTTTTTTACAGCTACAGTGCTTTGCTTACCACTGAACGACGATTCGACGAATCGTATTTTGACAGAGCTGGATGTATCACGGGATTCGAGCATGTTGACTTCAATGATTCTGATGATCAACACGGAAGATAATGATATGTTTCTTCCGCAGATTGTGCCTACGGCATCGCCAATTGAGACGCCAATTTCACTTTCGTTAACAACTACTCAGTCTTCCAACTTTTCTCCTTCAGACATTCCACGTATTTATACCATCGTAAATCAAAGAACGACATATGAGAGTGCAAAGATTAATCCATCACAAGAACGATACGTACCATCAAAAAATCTTAGTGGTACTACGTTAGACAATCTGCTTATATTAATGCCACTCGATCAAAGGTTAACTTTTTTTGTCATATCAAAACTTTATATGACATATTGTACATGTATATATGCAAGTAAATATGTACATTATTGATTTATATCCGTTCGTTGCAGATATGATATTCAAGAAATGTTAAATGGTACTGAATTTTACACGCGACCGACATTAATCGAACGTTTAAATGAATCACTCAGCATTATGATGTACGACAATGGTACTATCAATTCTTACAACAATAAAATGTATACTTACATCGTAATGGATTGGCATGTTGATAAATGGGAACCTATCATGATGATCTCAGAAGAGAAGGAAAGATTTACTGTTAAAAGATTAACTACCAATGCTCCTGCATTTTTCACTGTAGAAACTATCGATTTTATTCCATGCGATGCCGATAACGATTGCACAGGTAAAATTGTTAGATAAGTGTATTGAATTATTATCGACTATGAACAGCGTTTTTTTTTTCAAAAAGAAGATTAATGTTTCAGTGAAATTAATAAAATATTAACAGAATTTATTTATATCACAGTTGGTGGTCTAATGGAGGTATCCGTCCATGCTACACATATCGTAGCTCTCATTTTGGGATCCTTGCTATTGGCTTTTCTTCTTGTTTCCCTAGCAATATTTATCCGGTAAATCTTTTATTATGTTTTTTAATAATTCTTTTGTTATTTATGACTTTTATTTTTTTTATAATTTACGTGTTAATTAACTTAATATAACTATACTTAACTATATATACTATAACTTAATATAATATATTAATTATATATATATATTATTTATTATAATAATATTAAAATATTTAATTTTTTTTATATTGATATTAAAGTATATTAAATTAATTATAATAATATAATAATATATATATATATATTAAGTTAATTATAATCATATATATATTATATTATATTATATTATATTAT